AAGCTCTTACATTTTGTGAGAACACCCAAGTTCTCCTTTATAAACAAACCTACAGCAACGAGTGACCTCTGAACCTTGACCCGACAAACCCCAGTCCTCAAAAATGCAAACAAACGGGCGGAGGACTCATGAATCAGTGACTCAGTATACAGTATACAGCCGGCGACCGGTCAGGAAGGTAATGGTTACCTCAGCAATAGGCCTATATTTTAAGATTCATTTAATCTATTCTTTGACACTAGATCTAGTTTGTTTATTATGTATTTCTTGAAGGCAGAGTCAAGCGCCATAGATGTTTTGAAATCTCTGTCCGGCTGAAGTTTCGATTTGATGTGTCTGTTCTTCCCATAAAGTATAAAGTCATAAAGTAAGCACTATCGCCCCTGCCACTGGATAAGAATAGAAGAGAGTAGGCCTAGATCTAGATTCTAGATCTACACGATAAGTACGGCGGTGCCCATTTCGGCGTTGACCTCGGGCTGTGTTGAATAACTTTGTTGGACTTTAAAAAATGCTGCGTCATTCTCACTTCGAGATAACAGCGGCGACAGCAGTAAGACGTGTTTTTCGTTCCTGCGGTAGGGAAAAATCCTAGTTTATAACCCCTTTGCCTTTTTGAACTCACCGAAATTCCGTTGCACAAGGTAAACCTATGGACTATGGACATTTATTAAGCCTATACTTTTTGTTGTGACTGGGTGTTTTCTCATTCCCAAGGTAGGGCAAAAATATTCTTTGCATGCATTTTACATCTACAGAGTTCTTTTATTTTCTTTGCACCATATTCAGTGAGTGTTCTGGAAAAATTTTTTTAATACATGCATGTATAGGCCTATCATGTTTTTTAAAATCAAAACTCTTGTGTTTTTTTTTTTTTAAAACAATCAGAATTCAGAGTATTGGTTAAATTGTGAACTGATCGTGATGTCCATATATCTCATTTGTTGACCTGTTAAAGTGAGAGTTCAATAATTGTGACACTTTTATTTTTATTATAGGCCTATATAAAATGTAGGCCTCCATTTTAATATCTTTATACTGACCTTGGGTCATTTTATTTGGTATTTGATAGTTTATGGGCGCTTAGCCTAAGAGGGTCAAATAGGTTTTTTTTTTATCAACTCATAAAGCAGAAAAGCAGAGCCACTCTTTGGTGATAGGTAGCTACCATTTCTTTCACCACTTTTTAGTCTACCCTGGTGATAAAGAGTGGGAGGAATTGTATTGAAAAATATCTGTATATCTTGTACTTATTTTTATTCTTCTATTTATTTTCCACCAGTTTGCACAGAGCAGTGAGCTGATTTAATACACACAAAAGGAGAGAAAATGGCAAAGCGAGTGGCTGTCGTAAGTAATTCTTTCTTCCTCTTGAACTGATGCCTTTTTTACTAAAGACAGGAGCTTTTCTATTACAGCACTGATGCAGGGCTCTGGAGAATTAATTATATGGGGATAGAATATCAAATGGTCTTTGCTGATGAATTATATTTATAACAGTATTATTAAAAGTTTGCAGAAATTTGGTTTTAAATCAGATCATAGTTTGAGTCTGTTGGTAACAAATAAAGCATTTCAAAGAGATTAACTCAGGTCCTATTAGTATTAATTGGTATACTCTGGCGTGTTAAATTTTTCATGCGATAAATTGTTAATTTTTGTTTGTTCTGATCATTTCCCTTTGCAGGTGACTGGCTCCAACAAAGGGGTTGGCTTTGGCATTGTCAGAGCTTTGTGCCAGAAGTTTGATGGTGATGTCATCTTGACAGGTAACTCCTTCTCAAAACTAGAGTCTCATGTAGCGAATGATGCCAAGCTGAAGCAGATTCTCAGAGCTGAATTATTATAATTATAAAAGGAGCCTTGCTCTGAAATATGTTCTTAAAGATCAGGCTTTTGAGTTGGTTGAAGTTTGAAACTGCATCTAAATTCTTCTTAAGAAGAACGTAGTTTGTAAAATAGTCAACTATGTTAATTGGCCTAGTTCATTCTTCAGACCCTTCTAGCTTGCTCTCAACCGATTATGCCATCTTTGTACCAAAAGGCTGGATGTGGGAAGTTCTGCAAGGGAGGTTGTGATTTCAATGAAGAAAAAACAAGTAATGAAAAATGAAACTGTAATGTTCAAGCTGAAGCTGGAGATTTGGCCAGTAGCAATATTTTCGTTACTATGAATACATGTATACCATCAAAAGGTTCCAGCAAATGGTCTTGCTGTCATCATAAGAGATAACTCCCCAGTGCCTAGTGATTGAGTAGCTCTCCTCACACCTAGCTGGCCTTGACATCTTATTGACAACTCACAGACTTTGAGTCCATGTTATTCTGTGAAGATGTGTAGTACAGTGTAGATACAATGTGAGTGGCCTGCCTGATGTTCTCTGACCCTCCACTCTTCATCTGTATCATTTTTGGGTTCTTTTTTCTGAGCAATTGATAACTTGAATTGGTAATGATCGTTAGGGTCATGTGCAGATGAAATTAGCCTTAAGGGCCACCCATTGTTGAAGAGAAAAGTGGCTGTCTTAGACAGGTGGAGGTCTTTCACAATGTATATGATAGTCTTAGACAGGTGGAGGTCTTTCACAATGTATATGATATTTAAAAAACCCAAAATAACGCAAGAGGGAAATGGGAAGCGTCCGTTTATACAGGTGATTGTCTTATACAGGTGGCTGTTAGAGCAGGTTCGACTGTATTTTAAAAAGGAAGAAATCTGAGCGAAATCCTTTTGCTTTACCTTTGCCACTAATATTGGCCTTATGTGTTCTCAGCCCGGGACGAAGGACGTGGAAAAGAGGCGGTGGATGCTCTCAAACAGGAAGGGCTCAGTCCCCTGTTCCATCAACTGGACATCACTGACCATAACAGTGTCGTCCGACTACATGACTTTCTCAAAGAAAAGTACGGAGGTCTTGACGTGCTTGTCAACAATGCTGGCATTGCCTACAAGGTTAGGGGATGTCAATATTTTCTTCTTCTCCTGCTGTTGCACTAAAGATGCTTCTGGAAATTGTTGCCTTTGCTTGTGGCCTTTCTTGCTCAAAGTCAAAGAATGTAAAGGTACATAGAGAGCTGCACAGCAGAGTGTTTTATCTGAACAAATTTTTTTGGGTAGCTTGATTTAAGTATGAAATAACAATTTCTTACAACTGTTGGTTTTTTTGAATGATCTCCGTCTTGATAATAAAAGTGGTTGATATATTATATATATTGGTTCTTAATTTTTTTATACTTTGTACTCCAAACTTTCACGTTGTTTTGTTTGGGCTCATGAAGAAAGTGTTTACTTGTTGTACGGAGAAAGAGGAGGAGGGAAAGGAGAAGGAATTCTTCTTAATTATTTACACAAGCAATTGTCCATCGGTCACATGGGTCTCTTTCCATTTTGGTGTAACTAATTGCGAAATCTCCCAACCATTGAAAGTTGAGGTTTGAATCCGAAAAAGATTGAAAAAAGAAAAAAAAAAGTTTTGTTGCTGTTCTTTACCCCGTTGTCTTGTTAAGGAACTCAAAGTAAAATCTCTATGGGTCATGCTCGAAGTGTGTCTTTATGTCAGGGAGGCGAGGAGGGGGGGATACTCAATACTCTTATGTGAAAATGGTGTGGTGTGTTTCTTATTCGGCATTAACTGTTCACATAAAGAAGGCAGTGTTACAAGGTCGTGTTGAAACCCATTTGTGAGGCAGCGTGGTGGAATCAGGCACTCGTCAAAATAATGAAATCGAAGAAAAAGCCATCAGTTTGGCAATTTTGATAGAAATTTTGTTTTTTGGCTAAACACCTTTTATGTTTATATGAAAACATATTTCCATGTGAATTTTACTAAAAAACCTTGTTTTAAGGCACAAAATATATAATTTTCAATTTTCAAGGACTTTTTAAGCTATTGAAGTTACCAAATTTTGGTGGTCTTTTTCTCATTGATTTAACCACTGAAACCAGGCTACCCCGCCTCCTTCAATTGTAAATATTTTTACTTCTATTCAAGATAGATGGATATTTTTTGTCATTAAAAGCAAGGCAAATGAATAAGCTTTCAGGTGATTCCAATAACTCCACATGCCCAAAAATTGACGAGCGCCTGATTCCACCATGTTGTGACACATTTGTTTGTTGTCTGATGCTGGTGGTTGAGTGGCTAGACTGTTGGGCTTACAAGTGAAAGGTCATGGTATCAAAACCCTTTAGGGGCCTGATGTTGTGTCCTTTGGAAAGGCATTTAAGTGCACGAGTTTTCCTCGCTTCACTCAGGTGGGAATGGGTACGTGGCTATAGACAGTGAAAGATCTTGCCATTGTGTTAGTATTTGAGCCCTTAATCAGCTTCTTGCTCTGTATGCTTCTGGGGAACCTGAGAATGTTTCTAGGTGCTCTAAAGTCTGCTGGGGTAGTAATATGTAGATTGTAAAATGCATTGACCTTGCTGTTGAGGGGGGCTATGTGATGTACAAATGCTATTTATTAGTGTTTATTACTTTCTGATTCCAGGCTTCATCCACGGCATCGTTCTCAGAGCAAGCTGTAGTCACGCTGAAGACCAACTTTGAGGCTACCCTGGATGTCTGTGAAGTGCTGTTTCCTCTATTGCGACCTCATGCTCGGTAATGACAACTGTTTTGGTTGATATACCCCCCCCCCCCAAACAAAGAAAAAGAAAAAAAAAAAAGCCAAAATAAATAAACCTTTTTGAATCGGTGTGTTGTCCCATAAAGCCACACTTTTTAAAAGACAAATTTGTGTTTGGTAGAATGTTAAATTAACCCCCCCCCCCCCCCCCCCAAAAAAAAAAAATCCAAAAGAAAAATCAGCCAAACTTGGTCTCTGATCTGTTCCAGAGTGTCCAATGTCTCCAGCTTTGTTAGCCAGATGTCCCTGGCCAAGTGTTCGGACGCCTTGAGGTCAAAGTTCACGAACCCAAACCTCGGCATGGATGAGCTCGTCTCTCTTCTCAAGCAATTTGTGGAGTAAGTTTAAACCGTTTAAGTAAGTTTTTTTTTTTTTTTTACACGTAGGTGTTTGTTCACCCCCCCCATTGATGCAATTTAGATTATTTAGGATATGGGCTTCATCTCTGCCTGTCAGGGCCATCCCGGGATGAGAGGGAAGCAACGACGCAGCCGAAAGACTGAGAGTACCTGATATAAACTCTTCCTGAATGGGAATTGTACTCGGGTCACCTGCATGCTATGGCGAGGCACCTGGCTGCTACACCACAGATGCCAGTACAACTGCTGACAAAGAGCATATGTATACAGTTGAAATTGTCCAAGATAGCCAGCCTTTGTGCAGGAGAAAAGTGGCTGTCTAAGGCAGGACGGTTAAAAGTTTATATATATATTATATATATATATATATATATATATATATATATATATATATATATATATATATATATATATATAAATATATATATATATATATACACACATATATATATAATAAACAACCAAAAATTGATTTGTTTAACAGTTTGAAAATTGGATAACTCTTAAGTCTAAGCTGTTCTTTTAATAAATCAGTTTTTTCCTTCTCTTGAAAAATTTGCACAATGATTATTTATCAGATCTTATCCTGATGGCGATGATTTTATTATTATGAGTATAATAGAGTAGAAAGCAAAGTGCTAAAGTGCCTGTCTCGGAAACTACAGGTCTGCTAAGACGGAACAACACCAAGCACAGGGCTTTCCCAACTCCGCCTACGGGATGTCCAAAGTGGGCGTGACTGTCATGTCCATCATACAGCAGAGAGAACTGGATGCTAAGGGGGCGGAAGATATTGTGGTCAATGCTGTAAGTCTTTCATTTTTATGTGCTGTTTGTAGTTTTTGCCAGTGTAAATTAACCCTATCCATACGCCCGGGGTCATTTTGTACCCCCGGGTTTGTATTCTTCACATTTTAGAATACTTCTAGTTCGAAGATCTCTGAAACTTTCATTATTTCTTAAAAATTCATTTTGACAGACTGCTATTCAAAGCGTATGGATCGGATTAACGAATAATTTCTTCTTTAGAAAGTGGTGGCTCAGAGTTCCCCATGTCGTATGGATACGATAGTAAAACACGATGTACGGATAGGGTTAATGAAGACTGATGATATCTTATCTTTTCTTATTCTCTCATTCCTTATATTTTTATACTTTCCTGTTGCATCTGTCTTACCTTATCTGATGTTCTCACATCTTGTTTTATTATGCCTTGTTTCATCTGACCCTGTTTGCAGTCTTGTTTCCTTGTTTCATCTGACCCTGTTTGCAGTCTTATCTTTGACACATTCTCCAGTTTTCTCTATCTGTTCTTTTTCTTACTATATCTTATTATATGATATATTATCTTGTTACATCCCAGTTTGTCCTCCTACGAAAATAGCTTCTTTATCATGTCTATCTTTTCTTGTCACATGTTGTGTTTACTAACAAATCTATTTGCAATCTGTTTCTCATTCTGTGTTCTCTCTTATCTCTAGACACATTGATTTGCTCAGTTATGTTATTGCTTGTAAGTTAGAATCTCAAATGAGGCTTTCTTGAACTTTTATTGTCTGCGGAGTTTTTTTGGCTCTCTATACCCACCTGCCTCAGTCCTGTGGGAAATGGGATGTCTGGTCATAGGCTCTGCCTTTTGGAAAACTTTACAGTGTTGAGTGTGGATGGTTGATGGGCGCTGTGTTGTGTTTTTTTCCTTCTTTCCTATCAAACATCTGTCGTCTTTATCTCTCCTTCTTTCCTATCAAACATCTGTCATCCTTACCTCTCCTTCTTTCCTATCAAACATCTGTTGTCCTTATCTCTCCTTCTTTCCTATCAAACATCTGTCGTCCTTATCTCTCCTTCTTTCCTATCAAACGTCATCCTTATTTCTCCTTCTTTCCTATCAAAGATTTGTCGTCCTTATCTCTCCTTCCTTTCTTTGTATGTTACTCTCAAGCAACACCTCTAATTGTTGGCACTTATATTAACAATTTGTGTTGCAAATGCCGTAAAACTCTTACTAAAACTAAAGTTTTGAACAATGTTGAGAGGGGTGCTTAGCCCATGCCATACTACTGTACTATCTCTCCTTCCATACCTTATCTCATTTTGTCTTATTGTTTTGACGTTCCAGTGTTGCCCGGGGTATGTGGACACAGACATGTCCAGTCACAAAGGCTCGCTCACTATTGACCAGGGTAAGCATCAGAAATATTTGTGAGCTTGTGTGTGTGTGCGTGCGTGTCAGTGTGCATGCGTACGTGCGTGCTTGCGTGCGTGCATATGTGTATGTATGTGTGTTTTCTGATTTACATTTATTTCTTTGTTTTGTAGTTAAAGATATTGAGTTTGCTTTCACAAGAGAAATGGAAGGCAGAAGAAGTGGGGTAGACTAAAAATAGTTTATTCAGTATCGAGACAAGCTGTAGAGATGGATGAAAAGAAAAGACCAGGATGATTTATATTGGTTTTTAGAACAGGTCTGAGCCAAACAGTGACTGGCTAACTATGTGATCTCTTAAATGTCTGTTAATTTTAGAGCTGGTTCTTGAAGAGGAAGAAAAAAGATACTGAGTGTACTTTTCTATAATATACATGTATATCTGTATTTGTCTTTAGAAATACCGATATTCTTCCGCTGTGATCGTGTTTTGTAAGTTCTTGAAACCTTCAAAGTGTGTCCTTCTGTATTTTTTCTTGCTTTTCTTTGAAAACTTTCCACATGTGTCTCATTTATCCGATTTTTAAGGGTTTTTTTTGTGAAACTGAGCATGGGATTTACGATAGCTTTGTTTGTTGGAATTTATATTTGAAATGTTTTCCTCTACTGCATTATTAAAAAAAATATTTTGTCTTTCAACACATTGAGTACTCTAGCTGCCATAAGCTGATAAAACGCCTTTTTTCATTTTGGTGCCAACTTTTTTTATTTGTAAAATCCAAAGCCTTATCAATTACCCTACTTGTGTAAAAAAATCAAATTGAAACTATCACTAATTTTTCAATAAATTAGAAATCAAATTTCGGAATGGCTATATTTTTAAATGATTACGCTGCCAAAAACCTCCTCTTTTTCTCGAAACTGCTCTGAAGAAAAAAAAGCGTTTTGTCAGCTTATGGCAGTACTGAATCTCGTTTTGTAATAGACTGATAACAGGAATTGCCTTGGTCTCTGTCTTACTGCCTGGAGTGTGTGAGTTATGGGTATTTTTTAAGTTCTTCTCTCGCTTAGAAAAAGATAGATAAAAAAAGAAAGTTTGTCTCTCACATCTCACTCTGTGAAGTATTTGCTGCTTGTCCGGAGTCCTTGCAGAACTCTTAAAAAATGAGATACAACTCATCTGTATGCATGTGTCACAACGTGATGGAATCTGGCGCTCGTCAATTCTTGGGCATGTGGGGTTATTGGTATCATCTGAAAGCTTTTTCATTTGCCAATGAAAAAAATGCCCATCTATCTTGAATAGAAGTCAAGATATGTGGTTGAAGGAGGTGAGGCCGCCTGGTTTCAGAGATAACATTAGGGAGAAAATGGCCACAAAAAGTTTGGTAAATTCAATAGCTTGAGAGTCCTTGAAAACTGAAAAATTATATTTTGTGCTATTAATCAATGTTTTTAAGTAAAATTCAAATTGGATTTTGTTTTTATATAAACATAAAAGGTGTTGAACAAAAAAAGAAAAATTTGATAAAAATGGCTAAACTGGTGGAAAAGTGCCTGTTTCTCTTTGATTTCATTATTTTGACAAGCGACTGATTTCACTGCGGTGCCTCACATGTATATTATATTTTGTCACTTCTACTCCTTTTTTAGTGCCGAGAACTTTAAAGATATTGCTACGTTAGGCATTATAATTATGTTTTTCTCCTCTTCCAGGGGCAGTAACTCCCACATACTGCGCTCTCCTTCCACCAAATGTGGACAGCCCTCGAGGGAAGTTCATCAGCAAGGAGAAGATTTCCGAATGGAAGATGTAAAATTTCGGCATTTTGAACATTGTTCTTTAGCAAAGATGGCGTTAACTCTTTATCTCCGGTGAGCCAACCTCGGAAACACTGTGCTGGTGAACTGCTGACAGTGGCTGGGGCACGTTCCATTATGACGACTTCAACAACAATTTACTTTTCAGCAACTGCCAAAAACAGGTCTCTTTTACCGGAGGTTCAATCATTAGATGAAAAACTATCAAAATAAGTTCGCTTGTTTTGATTCAATGACCCATTTAAATTAGTGACCTTTTTGTCATTTTCAGATTTAGTACCAAAAAAAGGCCCCTGACGTAATGGGTTTGCCCCCCACGGAGATAAAGAGTTAAGATTTTCTTAGAAAAGGCTTTACTGGGGTAGAAGTTTATCGAGGAAAAACAGCGGACCGGAAAGTGGAAAATGAATACACATGGACCTATTGTGTAGTTCAGACCTAAACGTTTTTCTTGTTGGGGAAATGTCAGGAATTTTTTGTTGTTTTTTAAATTATTGTAATTTTTATGGCACTTCCAACTCAAATAGGTCGTATCAGTACCAAAGATTAGAGATGTTACTAGAGAGTAACATACAAAGAAAAGGAGGAGAGATGAGGATGGTAGATGTTTTATAGGAAAGGACACCCACATAGTCAGATTTTAGGATTTTCCGAAGAAAAAATTGTTGATGTGAAAATATAAATTTCTCATGCCTCTGGCCTCAGCCTTATACCAAGAAAAAAAACTTTCAAACTTTCATGCCACGGTGAAATGGCTGAAAAATCTAAGACTGCTCAGTCTGCCTCTGAAAAAAACCTGCAAAAATTCATCCAAGAAAAGTGACAATTTTTCATTATATCAAAGGTTTGTGTGCCTTTATTAATGGTTCATGAACTAGTATCATTACATCAGAAGCTGCTGCACTAAACAATAATTGGAACAATTTATAAAACATATATTCAATACTTGTAGATCGTCTTTGCATATTGATTTTATTTACATCTGTTATTTGTTTTTGTCATGCCATCTGATATTCTCAATCCATATGAAATGTTTCGAAAAAAATTCCCGCTTTTTGTTTTGAAAGCGCCTGAGGCAAGTTAATTGCAGGTATTTGACACACTGGTGTAAGTTTATACAAGTTAGTCATAGCTATTTGACTCTACAAATTCCTGTATCACTGACTTTGCTGAAATGATAATTATATTACAATTGCACAAAGATCTTTATAGATTTGAGAAAATAGTTTACGCCATTTACTAAAAATATTTATTTCAATAATTTGTCATGTATTTTTGATGCGAAAGTACCTTTTTGACATATGAAATTCTTTTTTGGTGTGTTTACCAGTGGTGACATTTTTACTTACAAGACTGCAGGCGTTTACTGAATGTTGTTATATATGACCTTTTTCGTTTCTGACTATTTATGAAACCCAAAGATATTAACTTTTATAAGCCTTCTAATCTTTATAACAATATACTAACAGAATAATCATCATGATATTCCTCTTCAGCCTAGTTTGTGATGGCTATTATGAGTTTATTGACGGGAAATATTAATTGCTATATTATTATTATCATATAATTGAGAGGATAAAAATTTAAAGATGTTGGAAATTACAAACAAATATGTAAACTTATAGATTTCATTCGCAAATCATGCAGAGGTAGCTAGAGGTAGATTTTCCAATGGATTATTGTAATATCCTCCATTGTACTTAACTTTTCCTATATAATTCCATGAAGAAGTTTCTCTAAACCCATTCAAGAAAAGACACATTTTTATGTTAGATCTAATTCACTTTTTTGAAGAATTAAAAAAAAAAGAAAAATATATTTTTTCCACCGAATACATATATAATATAAATATGTGTACTTTCTTTGTTGTTTATTACTGACAATATAATGTACCTCAGACTTCTCTTTCTTCTACTTTGAGTTATGAAGTAACATAAAGTAGTAAAGACGGCCATTTGATATTAAACAAATTCTGTTCTAATGTGTTGTTATTAGTTTCATGAGCCTATATACTCCTTCTACTAGTAGATTGTCAATAAAACAAAAGAAGATGATACATGTGCTGAATTTCAGTTGTTTTGATTTGGTGTGTATTTGACTGTCAAAATCTGAATATTTCTTTTAGTCGATCAAAAAGTAAGCTGGATGGTTTGTAACTTTAAAAAAAAGTTTGTTGTATACTTTTCACATTTTTCGTTATTGCAGGCGTGCAATTAACCAAAAAATGTTTGTTGTATACTTTTTAATATATTATATTTTTTTTTCCCAAGTGAGTTATTGCTTACTTTTATTTCTTGTTTTCTTTGAATTTGTCTGATCTCTCAAGTGGGATGGATGGTAATAAATGGTCCTGGCATTAAGCGCAACCCTGTGGTTGGTTGGAGGGTGCCACTGCCATTTGTCTTACTTCTGCTCTTTCACTTTGTTGTTTCTTTCTGTTTGTCTGTCTGTCTGTCTGTCTTGCTTGTTTGTTGCTCTCTACAATGGATATTTTGTAGTTTCGTTTCTGTTTATTCCAAGGAACAGGTGCAAAAATGTATTTGAGTGAGAACATTCATGTGCTGTCCTGCACGCAGTTTTGACTTTTACTTTGATGTAGGTCTGCTGTATTGGTCTTCTTCTGTCTTTCTTCACCTTTCTTTGATTTGAAAAAAAAGTTAACTGTTGGCAGATATAAGTCACAAAATTGTCAAAATCTTTGTTTACAGGCTGTTTTATAGTAAATATTGTATCAGTGACATTCTATCAAAGGAAGACCACGAGTGTTTGATAAAATGTTATGATTTTAGAATCATTAGAAAGGGTAGCTCTAATTTCCAATATCCTCCCCCCCCCCCCCCCTTTAGAAAAAAACAACCCAAACCCAACAAAGCAACAAAACAAACCATAATCGGGAAATTGTCAATTGCTTTTCGCTTGTGTTTTTTTTTTGCCAGTTAAAGAGTTAATCACATCTTTTAAACATGTTGACTTGAAAAGATCAAGGATAACTCGTTTTTTAATCACCGACTTAAAATTTACGTTATTTAAATAATGGCAAATATCACGAAAAAAAATCAGTTTCTAAGCAGATTAAGGGTTAAAGATTACAAAAAAATTCTGCAAGCAATGTGCACAAATATAATATATATATTGCTAAGGGTGCTAATATGCTGAGATTGACAAAATAATATATTATATTAGTTAAACTTGTACAAAAGTGGAAAAAGTGATTGGAATTGTAGCTAGAGAATAATAAAGGTAGATACAAGAAAAATAAAGAATCTAGAATGATGAAAGTCCAGAGCCAGTTCGGAAGTCAGAAGTTTCTTCAATAATTCAAAATTTTAAAAAGAATACAATGTAATGCCGAAATACCTAGAGAAACATCATTTTCTATTTCCTGAGTTTCAAAATGGCTTCTCTAAAATAAACACCCGATTACTGCTATACGTAAGTAGGCCAGGGTATGAAAGTGAATGATTAAGCGTAATAGCAAAGTCTACAAATTAATGTCTTCAAGGCCTACGTTCCGCGGCTCGACTTAAGGCGGGGTGTAACGACCGCCGGCGCGGATTTTGGGAAGTTCTCACAACCGCGGAAAATCGGGGATCGGCGGAAAACTGTGATCCTTGATAATTATTCAACACAGGCTGAGGTCAACACCGAACTGGGCACTATTGGGCACCGCCGTATGTATCGTGTACTCTCTATTCTTTTCAGTGGCAGTGGCGATAGTGTTTACTTTATAACTTTATTGGGTAAAGCTGAACATTTCAAATCGAAACCTCAGCTAGACTGGATAGAGATTTCAAAATATTATAGATGTCGCTTTACTCTGCCTTGAAGTTGAAGAAATACATGATAAATCAACCAGCCTCAAATATATTACCTTCCTGACAAAACGTTCGTCAGGTTTCGACGGATTTCAACTGGTTTCAACGGGTTTCCACTGGTTTCGACTTTAGCAAATTTTGTCTTTGAATTGTCCCCCATCGAGATCACTCACTGCGTTATGTGCATCTGACGTCACAGCTGCTTATTGGCCTTTACACTGCCCACAGCACGAAAGACACTTGTTATTCTCTTTATTGAGATGTAGGGATCTGCAGTTCTCACGTATGTATGTGGACACCATTTTGCAAACAGTTAATCAAAGTGGAACTTAAGACTTTGTGATGAAAAAAAACAACAAAAAACCAACCCCAAAACAACAAAATCACAGCAACCCCCCCTCCCCCTGAGCGGTGCCACTGACTGAAGTGTCTTTAGGCCATTTCCAAAGGGGGGG